TGGGGGAAGGGGAGAAATTGTAAAAAGTTAAAAACAGTATCAGAAGCTAACCTTGAAGACAGACATACAAGTGGAGCTGACCTAACTCTGCAGTAACCAAAAATATCTCCCCATGTGATACTATTCAAAATTCCACCAATTATAGATTAATTCAGGTCAATGAGCATCTTTTTTGAAAAATGTAATTAGAGTATTTATACAGGCTCTCATTTACATGCTAGTATGAATTTGTTTGCTCAAATTGTTTTCCTGCTAACTCCTAGCTTCTATGGACTTCTTCACAGAGAGAATGGGCATTTTCAGAGCAGGTCAGTAAAAGAATTAATTCGGGAGCCTGGAAGCACATTGCGGAAGTGGGGGGAGAGAGTAAGGCAGATGTGAATGGACTTCTTCAGTGGGAAGCACAACATCAGTGGGCACCTAAAAAACTAAAGAAATGGATCCAAAAAGGGACTTGGGAATATAAAGATAAGCATCATCTACTTTGAAATTTGGACTTAAAGGTCCTTCCTGTACTCTACATTGTATATTCCCAGGTCTTGGTGAATACTATTTCTTCTACTTTGTTATGGGTTAAATAAATTTTTGTGAACCAGTGAGACAACCAAACTACCATTTTATAGCATTGTTTCTATAAGAAAAATACGTTCCAAGGTTCAATCAACTAATTTACAAAGGAACTTGTTAGGGGCATCTAGGTAGCGCAGTGGATAGAGCACCGGCCCTGGATTCAGGAGGACCTGAGTTCAAATCGGAACTCAGACACATAACACTTACTAGCTGTGTGACCCTGGGCAAGTCACTTAACCCCGCTGCCTAACCAATAAATAAATAAATAGATAAATAAATAAATAAAACAAATGAACTTGTTATTCACCCTAAATTTAAGGCTACTTGTATTTATTATTTGATAGGCATCTTTCAATGAAATAGAAGAGCAGTCCTCAAATTTTTCAGGCTCACTATTATTTTAACCATTCAAGGAATAAATAGTTATCAGGAAAAGCTGGTAAAGGGAGGAGTTCTGACACTGTCAGTGTTCATTATGAAAACAAGTTAGTACAAAGTTTAACATTCCAGGAAAAATTAAACCTGCATCTCTAATGAAATAAATGGTAACATTCTGTAGAAGGAACTTTCATTTTCTGGTAGCTCTAAAATAAAGGCTCAAATTTTAAAATTACTTCCTCCAGATCCTTTTAAAAAACATTCATGTGTAAAATAAGATGTTAAATTGTTACCTAAAATAGGGAAAATAACACAATTAGTTTAACTAGATTAACACAATTAATTTGCACAAGCTAATTATTATTTCCATAATAATGTACTGAGAAGCAGAACGGCATAGTGGATGGAGATACAGCCTCCTAACCAGAAAAGGCTAGATAAGTTCCATCACAGACAGTTGCTGCCCGTGTGTCCCTGAACAAGTCACTTAACCTATCAACATCAATGCTCACATGAAATTCTATGAAAGTATAAATTGCAGAACAGGTGCCAATTTGCATTGGTAGAGGAAATCCCCTCAATGGAAATACCTCATACCAATGAAATAACAGATCTGATTGTATACACACACACACACACACACACACACACACACACACACCCCCTCTATATATATAGCCATTTTCTTATAGTGGGGCTAAGAACCTTATTCCATCTGCTTTAAAAGTATGTTCTATCTACTTTAGATTTTAAGTTTATGAGTCCTCTGTAATTAAATACTTAAAGGAAAAGCCAAATCACTCAGTGAAGACATTATGCAAATTCTGTCCAAATAAAGGACAAGAAAATGCACCGAAAAACAGCAAGCAATTTAGGAGTTTCTGATTAGCTATAAAAATTCAACAGCCACAGAATAGTATTAAGGGAAAATGAACTGAAGAATAAGGTTTTATGCTCCCTTTTTTTACACACACCAATTTCTCAACTTTCCTATTTGCTCCATTATTATATTCATATTAAATTCTAGTACTTCAGTAAGGGTAGGAGGAACTCAATATGTCAGATCAAGAAGGGAATTTGCATTTAATACAATACTTGTACTATTCCTAACTCTACTACTCAAGAGAATGAAAGAAGTAGTTAAGATAAAAATAAATCCAAAGCAAATAGATTAGCATTCCTTATATGCTTGAGTGGGTGCTGATTGAGTATTTATTATGTAATATATACATACATGTATATGTGTGTGTATGTATTTATAAACTTCCCCCAGCAAATATACAAGTTCAATGCGCATAAGAAAGGCCTAAATCTAAGATTTATTCAGTAAGCTAATTTTCATAAAAATAACCAATCCAAAGTGTCATAATTCTAGAGTATACATAGTAAATCTTTACATTTAAGAGTCTTTAAAAAGTCTTCATTTTAAATATATAAATACAGTAGTCATAACGATCACTATAATGGAAGGTAAAAGGGCTATGCCTTAGGATACTGTCTGGGTCAGCAGGCACAAAAATCCGACCTACTTTCTTTTTCCCTCCCTCCATATTCTCTCTTTACATATTTAAAGTTCATGCAACAAATTCTTCAAGCTGTTCTTTTCCTTAGTACAGATAAATAACTTCTTCCTCTAAAACATTCACAGTAAAAACCCAGAAAGTCTCTAATAATAAACCAATGTGCTCATGGCTAAAGCATAGTTTCAAAAATGCTCCACTACTATTCTTTAAATAGCATCTCAAGAAGAATAACATCTAGTGAGGGTTTCTTTCTTTAAAAAAAAAATACAAAGCATATCTAAAAGGTAATGGCTTTTCTTTATTGATCATAGGAGAGGACAATTAAAAACTAACTTGGCAGGTGATTGCTCAATTATTCTAATAATTTTCCACATTTTGAAGTAAAACTAAAAACAAATGTGTTTAGATTAGGATGCTTATTATATTCATCTATCTCAGTAACAGTACTGCAAAGGATTTTTGGTATATGATTCCCTCTGCAGTTAGGCAAAATAAGAGGACTGGAAAAATCAATAATGCTTCAAATATATTGATTTTGAATTTAATTTATTGTTCTTGATACGTTCACATGCAACAAAAGGTCACCAAGGCTGAATGATGACATTTAACAAAGATAACTGTTGCCTTTACCTGGAAGGTGGTAGAAAGAATAAGAAAATCAAACCGGAAATCTTTCAAAAGTTCTTTGAAATTATTTCCTTTTAGAATTCCATACTCTAACTGCAAATACAAAGGGAAAGAATGCTGACCTTGCTAGCAAACTAAATGCATAGGAGAACCAATCTCCTTACATGGTAATAAATCTGAAGGAACAAATTAAGAATATACTTTTACACTTACACACACCCCTAGGAGGTGAAGCACAATTCTGCTCATAAAGTACAGAAAAAGAGATGCCGTGGAATATAAAATCCACTTCTAGGAGCCCTTATATTGTATCAGAGGCAGTTCTCTTAGTCTTGATGAAGACAATAGCCTCCACCCAAAAATAGTGGAAGCAAATCCTGTACACTCTTTCTTCAAACATATTTAAAATGTGCAGGTACAAGGGAGAAAGTTGACAGGTTGATAATCAGCAAGTTTTTTAAATCATTATGTTGTAGGAAGAAAAAAATCTATAAATTGTCAGGAGACTTAAGATCTAATCAGGTAATTTTGTGTATGTACACTTCTCTAACCAACAAAGCAATTAACCATTTACTACCAGTGAACCATTTGTAATTCACTCCTCAATTCCTATGTAATCTAATATTATCTCTTGAGGGACTGCCAAAATATTTCAGAACAAGGTCCTGAGAATGTCTCTGATCTTTGTTCTTCCTAAGTTTGCAGACTGCAAACTGACCAAGCCTACTGATGGTGACAAGCAACCTCAAAATGAGTTTTGGCGTACAGAAATTTAAATTGGCAACTATCCAAAATTTTTCCAAGACCCTCATATTTAGTAGGGTGATAGGAGGGTCCCTGAGTCAACAACACATTGTCATCACCTGCTTCAAAACCTGCTCTATGTTAGTGCTTAAAAATAACCTGAAAGTTAGGCTGTCTGTGCCTTTTTTCCAAATTGGCTCATTAAGATGCAATCGAATGTGCTTCACAACTAAAGACTAGCATGCTAACAGTGCAGCAGGACACTGCATGCATGTTTCTAAAAATACATAAAATCATACATTAGATCTAATGTCCTTTAAGTTCTACTTGTGTTTGCCTATATATGCGTGGCTTCAGCAAGTGCAGATTTTTTTTTAGTGGCACTTTCAACCAAAACTATAATTTTCCTCAAAAAGTCAGTACAGGAAAAATCCAAAACAAGTTTTGGAAATAAAAAGGTAAGGCTATATCACACTTGTACAAAGTTTAGAGGTTTTAGAAAGTACTGTCAGGATATATCTAGAATTGCAAATCATTAGCTATGCAGCGCTCTGGAGCAGATACAAACACACAGATACACATATTTACACGGGATTCTCCATAGCTAAAAACCGAGTAAGGAGTTCTGAGTTCCACATTCCCGGCTCTCCGAGGGCAGAAAGAGACAATGCGGGGACCTCTGAGTACTTGCCGCCTCTTCCCTAGTCCCTTTTTGCACTGGATTTTCTCTGGGAATCACCCACACAGGCAGGATTCCGCCCTCTCCTTCCGGCAATCTACAGCAGCAGCAGCAGCAGCACAAATCAACTCAGCCCAGGCAGCAAACTTGGGGGGGGGGGAGTTTGGGGAGACCATCTTTCCTCAAATGTCCACTCTCTCTTGTTCTCCTTCTTCCCTTTCCTCCCGATCCACAAAACTACTCTCTTTCCAGAGCAACCCCAAAGCCACAAACTCAACTCCGGCGCACTGTCAAGTAAGTCCCCCCCCCCCTTCCCAGGCCAAACAAGTGGCTCGGACTGCAGACACTTTGCAAGCAAGTAGCTTAGAGCGGATTGCGGGGGGTGAGGGGGGTGTTTGGGAATCTTTTATCTTGGAGGAAGAAGGGGGGAAGCCATGGCTTGCACACATATGCTCTGCAGAGAAGGGTTAGATACATACTTTGCAAGAGGATGCAGCTGTCTCCTTTCTCTCTCCCCGAGCTTGCCCCAACTCCGAAGTTAGTGCCAATCGTTTTCCCCCCAGAGCTCTCCGGGCAGCAGCAGCAGCGGAGACTCCTCCTCTCCCATCGAGGAGGGGAAGGTGGTGGGAGCCTCTCTCCTCCCCCCCTCTTCAATGCACCCCCATTATCTCCTCCTCCTCCCTTTCTGCCTTGGGCCCGGGGCGCGCGCTGTCTTCTCCGTGCCCTGGGAGCGGAGGCTCCCCGCCTCCCGCGCGCGCCCCGACGGCTCTGGGGGACCGCTGGCGCTGGGCTGGCGGCAGAGTGCGCGGAGGAGCGGAGCGGGGCGTGCGGCAGCGGCAGCGGCGGCGGCAGCAGCGGCGGCAGCAGCAGCAGAGGCAGCAGCGCCTCCCTCCCTGCCTGCCAGCCACAACCCACCCCTCCCCCACGCCCCCGCTGCCCCCCTCCCCCAACCCCGCTCCCTCCTTCCCTCCCGCTCTCTCGCTCCCCTCCGCCTCCTCCTCCTCCACCCCCCCTCTAGCTGTCACATTGGGAGATTCCGCTCTTGCTACATTTGCTGCTGCTCCGTCTTCCTCCCACACACGGCTCGTGTGACGCAGATCCTGGCGTGGGCAGCCGCAGGGGCGGGGGTGGCTGCCGCTGAGGCTGAAGCTGCTGCCCTCTTCCCACCACCTTCCTTCCCCCCACCTCCCAACCCCCCACCATCTCTCCTTCGCCTTCCCTTCCCGTCCCCTCCCCTCCCCGGAATAGGGAGTACCACCTATTCGAACCACAGAAGGGAAGGACCAAGTGAGACGCCCCAGGAGGGGAAGGGCTCCCGCTCCCACTCCCACACCCCCTGCCAATCCGACTCCCGCTGCTTCTTAAAAGGGAAAAGGGGGGAAAAAAGGAGGAAGAAAGAAACAAGGAGTAGAGAGAAGGAGTTGTTGCCTCAGGCCTGGATTTGCAGCTGCTGAGATTAAGAGGGAAAATTTGCACTGCATTTTTTTTCATTGTCTTAAACTCATGAGGTTTGCAATGACATTTCAAAGAGCACGCCCTGTCAAATCCTCCTTCCCAGAGGTGAAGGGAGGGGTGTACTTCACCACCACCACCGCCGCCACCACCACCACCACCACCACACACACACACACACACAGAAATACAAACACACACACACACACACACACCACTAATCCTCTGGGATGGCATCTCCCTTCCTCCCAAGTTGAGAGGTGAGCATTACAAAAGCGGTTGTGCCAAGTTCTTGGACAAAACCTAGCGCTGTCTTTGCAAGCTGTCAAAGTGAACGCTTCCAGCCAAGAAAAAAGCTTTGATGATAAAGGGGGGGGGTGTGGACGGGATGGAGTGGCAGGTGTAGGGCAGTGAGGTTGGTGAATATTGGTGATCAGTGTTGGGAAAGGAGCAGGCAGTCCATTTGATCCGCCTATAAACTCTAACCACCCTTTGACTCTCTAGAGTGATAAACACCCTTTAGGAGAAAAACAAACTCATGTTTGGACCCGAAGACGACTCTGGATAGAATTTCAGCCTTCTTATCCTTAATGAAAATCCTGCCTTTCACTTTGCTTGTTAATGTTTCTGCATTCATAGTTTAGAATCTGATGGCACCAGCAAGGTATGTGGGAAGTGTTAAAGATAGAATTTCCTATGCCCCTCCGCAGAATTTTTTGTTTTGATTTGATTTTTGTAAACTTTCTAACCAAAGACAAGATTAAAATACCACTGACTGCATATTTCTGGTACGTAGAAAAAAAAGATTGAAGACAATGTCTATGATATTTTCCTCCTCTGACAAAATAGGAAAATGAAATAGTTTCTGAACTCCACGGTTATAAGTGCTCTTTAAGCTGAAAAGGTATTGTTTGAATATGAAACCGCTGTACTTGCAGGTAGAATCCTGTTTTAACAAATACCATTAAAACATCAATTTTTATATGAGGCCATTTCCACATCCTGGCTGACAGCCCATACTAAACCTGCTTTGTTGATGTGGATAAAAGGAATTCTTTTGAAAGAGAAATTCTGCATAAAAGATCTTAATGTTGAAGCTGTGCCTTGAAACCGTTGTAAGAAAAAGCCATTATTAAAAACAGTTTTTCTGCAAAACAAAACTAACTATAGGACAGGATAATGCAACAATGGAATAACCATAACTAGATTTTAGCTTTTTTATCCCAATATTTGTCGAGAGATCCCAGGAAAGGCAGCTTTTGTTTGGAGTAATTGAGTTGATACTGTACCAGGGACAAGACTGCTTATTTCCTGACACTCTTCTGCTGAAGAAACCCCTCCTAGAGGTTACAAGCGACCCAGATTCCAGGACACAATCTCCTTGTTTCTTTTGGCTTCCCTGATTAGGCATTTAATTACAACTAGGATGTCTTCTTGCTAAGAAGGAAGTCAATTTTTGTCACCTTGTCATTCCATATACTCTACTGTTCATATACTAAAATAAAGACACCAACAATTTCTTGGATGGATTGGAAAGTTATAGGTTAACATGTCTCTTAACCAGAAGAATTACAAAGCAATGAATCTGTGGTTTCATTCTTCTAGCCGCCTGGAAGCTTGAGGTTTGGTTCAGATCACTAAGTAAAAAATAACTTTCTTCTGTATCAGAGTGTTCAACCAGGGATTCATGAATCAAAACCTTACTAGTTTTACCTGAACTGTTCTAGCCGTCCACGTTGGAGGATTACTTGCCAGACTCAGAGGAAGCTACATGAAATTTTCTTTCTAGGTATGAATGTGTCTGGTCAGCACTATGTACATGATCCCTGAGTGCAAATGTGTCTGGGCAGGTTCTTCTTCTTTTTTCCTCTTATGATGTGTTATAAGTTGCTTCTAAAGGTAAATGGTACAATTTCTAGTAGTTCCTCCTTGGTATTCATACATGCTATATTCCAGTCACATTAATGGATGCAAATGGAGTTCACATTGTTTTGAAAGAATGATGATAGATCTTAAAGTATTATTTATCAATCATACTTCCCTTACAATAAATCTGCCAAGAACAAAATATTTTTCTCCTCAAGTCAAAGAATATTAAAAATGTAAATTCTAAAGAGTTAGAACATCGATATGACATCTAGCACTTAGTGGCTAATGTGGTCTCTAAAGCAGAAAGTGAGGCAATGATAGAGATAGAATCTTTATTTCCTCTTATTGATTCAGCATCTGAAAGACCTCACTATTTGTTAAGAATGCCTTTTCCTTTTGAATTTTATGTTGAACCTCTTCCATGATGGTAGCAAACAATTCTGGTGATCATCAAATGAGATGATAAATGTAAAGCATTTTATACACTTTAAAGTGTTATATAAATGTGAACTGTCATTATTGTGTTATGGCTAACTTGATATTAATAATCAAAGAATCCCTGAACAAATTTATCTCCATGGTTACATCTTTCAAGTAATCTCATATGATATTAACATGTATGGGAGACTCCTTGTCTGAGAAGAGCTTTTAAGATGGTATTTTGTTTTTTTTCTAGTCAGCAAACAATAAGTACAATGGGATCTTCTCTTCTTTATACCTTTCAGTAAGATGTGTAACCGTAAAGATGCAAGTTTCTATAGAATATAAGTAGCAAAAGCCTACCTCCTCTTCTCATACCTTCCACAAGAATGTCCTCAACAAGAGTATGGATTATTCTTGTAAGGATTTTACAGCAATGGGAAAGTAGGCATATATGTTGGTAGTTATTGATTGTTCTTGTTTATCTTTTAGAATGTTTAAATTTTTTGATATCTTTTGTTTTTCATCCTCTTTATTTCCTAATATATCTTTCTTCCCTTCCTCATAGAGAGCTATCCTCATAACAGAGTAAAAAAAAATAATAAAGAGAATAAAGCTGTTTAACAAAACTAAGCAACACATGAAACAAGTTTGACATTTTCTGAAGGGTTCTATACTCATAACCCCTGCCCCCTCTGCAAAGAATGGAGGAAGGGATTACTTTTTTAAAAATAGTAATAAGATCTATGCTTTTTTTCCCTAAATATTTAGTATCCTTCCCTTTTGCACATATCTTGAATCCCTCAACACCTTCAAAGTTGCTTTCATTCCAGCATAAACGTGCTATAAATATATTTAATCTAGTCTAATGACTCTTTTTTAATTTTCTTTAGTGCCATTTCTATTTTCTTATACCGCACATCAAGATCTATGAAATTAGAATCCAAACACAGTGGCTCCAACATCCTTGATGGAAACCTTTCCCATTTTTCTTGACCTTTTATATAGTGAAGACTTCCCAAGACTTCTGTTTGCAGATGACGTGATGCTGATTGCTGTGCTAAATGCTTCTTTTCAAATATATCTCATTTGATCCTCACAACAACTCTGAGAGATAGGTGCTATTATTCTTCCCATTTTATAGTCGGAGAAACTGAAGCAAATAGTGGTTAAATGACTTGCCCAAGGTCACACAGCTAGTAAGTTTTTGAGTTGGGATTTGAACTGTAGTCCTCCTGACACTGGCCTATCATGCTATCCACTATGCCATCTAACTGCTTCTAGACATTTGAGGAATTAGAATTTATTGGTAAATATCTTTCTTTGTGAATGAAATATTAACCATGTGAAGTCAATGACACATAAGAATGCTTCAAGTTTGTAAATTCCTTGCTTGACATTTTCCCATGACCTCTCTCTGCCTTATACCTCACATTCAAAGTTATTTTGCATGTCTCTAAAAAAATTTCTCATGATTTTTAGTATTATAATTATGTGTTTATGTTGCATATCCACCTACTAGGCTGCATGCTTAATGACAGACTCGACTTTTTCTCTCTCCTAGCACCTAATATGGTACTGTGTATACAGCAGGTGCTTAATTCCTTTGGGACTTGACCTGTGATTTCATTGGTATATGGAATTCCCAGTAAGGAGACTTCCCCAATTCAGGTCAGTCCCACCTCTACAACTTATTATATAGTCTTAGAGAGTTGTTTGATATACTGATAAATCAAGTGATTTGATGAGGATCACACACTATGTGTCAAAAATAGGATTTAGACCTATGTCTTCTTGAATATGACACCTCTCTATCTGCCAC